GTTTCCATGGAAACCAAGAACCGACTGGCAGTGCACAGGAACGGGGCCGCTGACCTGCTTGTCCTTCCCCAGCGCTGCGGTGTGTGGGGTTCCATCCCTTCGCCATGCATGTGCAGTGCTCGTTGCCTGAGGCAGGCAGGATCAGTCCTGAGGCCGCAGTGTGTTCCACTGGCAGCAGTGCCGCTCCTGGCCTCCTCATCCTGCCTCTCTGGGCAGTGGTTCTGCAGCTAGGGGAGGAGGGCAGAGGGTTCCTGCCTCTGTCTTCGCTCCCCTCCCACTGCTGCAGCCTTCCCAGGCCCCAGCAGTGATGGAGGGCTTCGTGGTTAGCTTTGGATGTACAGATGCCCCTTCCTTTTTGGACCCCTAACCCACTTACATGACATGTTCTGTTCACTTATTCCGCTGCTCCTAGCATACTCCTCCACGTTAACTTGTTAAACAAGTGCATTTAGAATACTAGTCCTGTATGTATTGCACTTAATTTCCAATGTTCTTGGAATTCTAACGACTACCAGAAGTATCTGCTCTGGATAAGTCTCATCGGCTTGGCGGCTGGCAGTGCCAGGTTAAGGTTATATTACCTGCTTCTGTTCAAATGCACTAGGTGCAAACACACCATAGTGCCTTTTGAGGACAATTTTGAAGAGTGAAGCCATATGAGTAGCATGAGCCTCCATTTGTGCCTATGCTGTGCCCTCATGGGACTGTCCTGCCTGGAAAGAGCGCTTTTCCAGCCACAGACCATGAAGGGATCAGCAAGAAGAGGGAGCAGAGCTCTGCTCTCTCACTGGGGGTGATGGCAGAGCAGCCACCCCAGTGTCTTGGCCTGGCTGCCCATGACTACTCCGTTGCTTGGCTACCAGAGCTGAATGTGCCCTTGGCATGCCTGCATTCTCCTGGGCCTCACCCCTGTGCCCACAGAAGGCATGGGTGAGTTGAGTGTCCTTGCACCCCATGGTGGCTGAGCTCTCCCATACCCACCCAGGAGTTTACCACAGAAAAAGCAGTTTCCACCTTCACTCTTGTTCCAAGGCTCATAAAACCACGGCAAGGTGAGCAGAACGCCAGCTTTCTGTTTAAACAGGAATATTGCTTTATGCAAATGTTATGCATACTTTCCTCACAACGCTGTGTGTTTTCAAACACTGCAGGCGCCAGTGTAGAGTTTGTTCCTTAAAAACACAGTTAAATTTAAAAGCAGCTTTAGCCCTTGGTCTGAGGGGCAACTCCCCCTCATGCTGAAGGGTCGCTTAGTGCTGAACAACTGCGTCAGGGCCTTCTTCTGAAGTGAGAGTCAGGTGATGCTATGGGCAGGGGAGAACCACAAATGGAGCCCATGAAATCCCTTGCTGGGTCTCCAAGAGCCCTCCCTGCTCTTCTGAGTGGCCACTGCTGCATGGTGCTGGCTCAGGTCCCCTCGCTTGGCGTCTGGTGCAGCACCCCAGTGCCAGAGATTTAACCTTGTGGACAGCATGTCCCTGCGGCTCTTGTTCCCGAAGCAAGGGGCTGTTGGGAAAAGAGCACCAGAGGAGCTTTTCTGGGCTGCTCGGATGGGAGGGCAAAGGTTTCTGTATTCTGAGGACATCATGGAACGGTGATGCAACCTGGAGAGGTGCTAGAGGCTGCCGGTCTGCAGGATGACTGCAGGTTCCTGTGCCTTGCTCATCTGTACTCTCCAGAGGCATGGGATGAGTGTGGCATCCCTGGTGTGAGTGGCCTTTCCACTTCAAGAGCGTTTGTGGGGCGAGCCACGGGACAGAGGCAATAGTCTGGGCCATGGAGAATGTCCTTCCTTTAAACCTCTTAACAGGCACAGAAGCCATAAGGCTTTGGAAGGGCAAAGCAGCTTAAAGCAGGCAATTGCAGAGATGAGAGCATCCTCAAAAGCTGGAAACTCCCCAAAGCGTTTCTCTGCCCTCGACTCCAAAGTGCTGGAGCTGGCACAAGCAGCCTCTGCTCAGCTGGTCATCCCGACTATCCTTGATTCTTGTTCAGTGCTTTTACGAAACTTGCCAACTCTGACATAAAAATTAATTGACCTTTACAGCTGCATTTGAGCCAGCTCCATTGCCATCAGCTCTTGCTAGTCCTCACTACTCAAATCCTATTTGCTTAATGGCATGTGAATTAATTTGTTGGAAGCTGACACTTCGCTGCAGGATTAGTTAGTGACTCTAACACGAAATTCAAGATGCAGAGCATCCCTTGGGGGAAAAAAAGATAGGGAAATTCCAGTGCTCTTGGAAATCTTAATTTTTAGGATGCTATGACTGGAGTATAGGAGAAAAATAAACTCAATTCCAGCTATTTAAAGGCTCAGCAATTTCTTCCAGTCAAAAAACGAGCAGCTATTGTGTGCAGGCACTGGGCGGGCTGGAGGGAGGCAGCATTTCCTACAGGCAAATTAGGAGTGGGAAAACCAGAACAAAACCTGCAAGCCTCAGAAGCCTGAGCAGGGAACAGAAGCCATTTTCTGTTCAACATGATTTGTATTGTCATTAGGTGGGTTTAACGGGCCTTTATTTTTGTTCTGAGAGGAAAGCCCTGGCTTTGCTTGAGCTAACAGTAATGACCGTTCAGACCTAAGAAATGCGAGGGAACCAGCTGAAACGACATTTGCTGTGTTGCTTGGGTACTCATTGGGAACAGAGGGTCTCCTCCTCACCCCCAGTCCCTTCCTGGCACTAGAGGTTGGCCATGTTTGCTAGAGCCCAAAAAACCCATCTGTGCGCTGCTCAGCAGGGCAGCGTCCCATTCACATCATTTATGTCACTGTAAAGGAAGATCCCTATTGGGCACCTGGAGCAGACCTGAGCCCCACAAGGCGTGCTTGAACCCTCCATGCAGTCCAGTCACTGGGGCAGAAGGCAAGGCTGGCATCACAGCTGCAGGAAAGGCTTTTCTCATCCAGCATAACTTGAACCCCTTCCTAACGCTCCTCCCAAGCAGAGAACCCCAGCAGTAATGCTTCAGCAACAGTTGTGGCTTCTTGAAGTCCAGTATTTGGGTGTTTCAGGCTGTGTAAAGGTGAAAGGGGATAAAGAGGTAAAAAAAAGCTCCCTGAAAGGAAATCTTGAGGGTTGAGAGCTGCAAGCTTAGTTTGAACAGCCTGTGGGGCAAACACGAATCTCCTCTCTTTCACCTTTGTTGGTGTCATTCAGAAGACAGACACTGATTTGTCCCCTTTTAGACAACTGCATGGGCTGAAAGCAGCATAGCAACCAGCAAGTGCAGCAGGCTTTCTCTTTGAGGGTTCCAACACTGACACGGGACTGCTGGTCACCGTCTTACACCTACAGAAAAAGCAGTGTGACCAGAGCTCTGCTTGTCCTGGACTGCTGCTTAGAGATGGACAGGAAAGGGATGGAGAGCGGGTCTGGTGTTTGTTAACATCCCTCTCTAAGGAGATACATATTGCCCTCTATCATCCCAAAAGCAAGCTGGAACTGTGCCAGTGAAGGAATCATGCATTTCTTTATGGCTAGATCCTGGTTTAGTTTGTGATATGCTAATTTTAGTGATCTCACCAGAACATGTGAGAAATATGGGATTCCTGTTGTAGCCCAGCAGGAAGCAAGTTGCTGGTGGAGTACACCTGCTTCCCCAAAGCAGGGCCATGGCTTCCCTGACAAGCTGTTTCCTTGACAAGTTTGCAGGTTCTTTTGTGATCTGATTCAGGTCTAACCAAAAGGTATCAGAGAAAGCCAGAAACTGTCCAATAGCCATTTTCATCGCATTGTATGAAGCACTGCGAAAGAAAACATTTGTTTTGGGTGAGTGATATGACTAAGTGCCTTTAACCATAAAACATCTTTGCCTATTGAGAAGCTCTTGCAATGACAAATAAACCCTGCATGCCTGAACTGGGTTAGAAAATTAATTTGAAACATTTCTATTTTCTTCAAGAACTGTTCAGTTAAACTCAGCTACTCACCCATTAACAAACTATGCAGTATAAGTATTCTATGTTTTCAACACCTTCCTACAAGCAGATAGGCACTCTTAGCCGCTGCATGCCACAAGTGAGTTTATCTTGAACTCCCATGATTAGTTTTAACTAATGAACTCTGTCAAATTTCCTTTCAATAGCTTACAAGTTCCCCCAACTCTCTTGCAGCTCTGCTAGTGACGAGGGACCAGCAGCAGTCAGAAAAGGGAACACTCCTGTATCTTGGTAGTTTCTCCAAAACGTGGTTTCTTGGCCACTCTTCACTAGCAGCACACACAGAGATGCCAGGCTCAGCACTGAGCAAAACATATCCCCTGCCCAGGCTGACTCCAACAGCCACAGGACAGTGCTGCAACCTACCAGTGCCCTGAATGCGCAGGCAGGTAGCAGTGGCTTAGAATCATAGACTAGTTTGGGTTGGAAGGGACACCTTCCACTATAGCGGGTTGCTCAAAGCCCCATCCAGCCTGGCTTTGAACACTGCCAGGGATGGGGCAGCCACAGCTTCTCTGGGCAGTCCGTGCCCTTGCCTCAGCACCCTCATAATGAAGAGTTTTCTTCCAAATAGCTAATCTAAACCTGAGGTTGGTGTTGCCATTGGTACTTTACCATAGGTTACGTACTTTCACAGGAACTGGCAAGGCACAGACATTACGGACTCCAGTCACCTGCCACATGGCTGCTGAGTCTGGTGCAAATCCAGAGCACAGAACTAGGCTGTTGAGCAAACATGTACGATATGCCACACAGCATCTGCAACACATCCCAAGCACACCCAGGCGTTTGGATACCCCAGTTGCTGTAGTTATCACACCAAATCTGAAAACATTTTTAATGTAGCCTATTGAAAACTAGTGGCTTTTAATAATGCCTCAAACCAAACTGCAGCTCCTGATGCCCATGTCAGAATGTAACTTGTAGTTTAACTATAGAAAATCCCTGAAGAGTTTTACAGTCCTTTGAAAGCATCTTTCAAAAGCAAAGATAAGCTTGTGTGGCACTGACAAAAGCAAGAGGTACCAGGGGAACAACATACACAGCCAATGGTCTTTTTTTTTATAAAAGTATTTTTAATAAACTGATGGATTTAAGATGCTAGACAACTTGTTGCCATGTACAGGTAACAAAAGTCAAAACTCTTTGAATTTTATACAAATACTATGTAGTACAGTAAACTTGAATACAAGTTTACAAAAAATGCATCAGTGATTATTCAGCTTGTAACCAACTTCCAACAGTGAAAATCATCATGTACCAATAGTGATCAGAATTGCATTGCAAATTTTAGAAGTAATGCAACTATGTTTTTACCAAGCCACTCTGAAGTTACTGGTGCACATGGACAGTACATTGGATTTTTTGGCTTGCTGAACAGAAGATGGCATTTAAATAAAACGACCTTGAGTTAAACAATACGTATCAAAAGTACTATCTTACAAAAAAATCAAACAAGAATGAGAAAGTAAACAGAGCAGAACCCTGAAGTGCTGATGTTTTTCTACCCGTTTTGATGGAAAAGATTCCACAGGTGTCCAGCTTTCTCACAGCATTTTGGAGTGTTCTAGTCCTAGCACAGTGTGGTCATTAGTAGACTTAAGTAATCCCTGCTTGGCAGTAATGCTGGTGAAAGGTAACTTGCTCTATTGCTAACAAATAGGAGTAACCACTGGCAGGGTGACTTCTCGGAGGTGTCCAGTGAGGCCAAGTTGACAGCACGCGACTGAAGCTACGGTACTGCTTGCTTTGATACAACACCCAACAGCCTTCAGGGTTCAGGGGTCAGTTTCCTCACAGGATTAACAAATGGATGGTTTTGAAACAAGAAGAAAAAAAAACAACCCAAGAACGCAAAACCCGTTATGGAGCATAAGACAGTATTTTCACCTGTACAGCTACCAATAAAATGAAGGTTTTTGTTACAAACTTTCCAGTCTGCTTTATAAAAAATAGTCTTAGTTTTACTTCTAAATAAAAACTGTGCTGTGATCTGTCACGTTCTTGCATTGTACATGCTGTAGTTGCGTGTGTTAATGAAGGTGTAGAGATTTGTGACCTAGCGCTCTGGATGTAGCAGAAGCCTAAAAAGCTGATTTTGGTACATAAAAGGTAGCAATGAAAATTAATTCTATTTATTTTTCCTAAAACCTAGGAAAAGCTACAGTACATTGCTAGATCAGTGGCCTCAACCCTGAGCTGAAATGAAGGACCTGCCTTGGCCAAGAGATTTAGTCACATTACTACCACAGCTGTACAGCAGACACAAAATAACCTGTCTGCAGCCTGTTCCCTCAGCTGTAAGTAGTGTGAGATTCAGTTCTGTTAATGCTTGAGAGTTCACTGGAGACCACCATGTTCATTTTCACTACAGGAAAAAAAAAAAGGAAGGAGAACTCAAAGTTCAAGTGAAAAAAAGCACTCAACAGGTAGAGTTGTCAGTATGTCCAGCTTCTGGAGACTAAGAACACAGCTAGTGGTATACTTGTCAGTTTTCAGCGTTTCCCGCTTGGTAGAATTGATTATTAAAGCACGTACCAAACTACAATCGGAGAGCCATCTATTATTATCCCACTCTTCCCAGAAGGAGACTCCCTTGATTTCCCCTCACCAGAACTGAGTACCCCTCTGTACCTACACTGCATCACAGAAGAAGAATGAAAATTTAAAGACTGTATGACATAGGATTCAACCTACCAACTGCTAGCAGAGAAACTCCCACTTGCTTTTAACTTGAGTAAGAGTTGGCAACTGTGAGAATTCTTACTAGGATACAGCCTACTGCACCTTCCTGTAGGGTTAATGGCACCAGCTACCTATGGCTAGGAGCATTCATCACATGAAGCATTCTTGCCTTCTAAAAGGCTAAGAGGACCTTTTTCTCTTTTTTCCTTTTTAAATAGCAGAAACTGTAGAGTCAGTATTTCACTTAATGGAAATCCTAAACTCAGCAACATATCAAAAGTAAAGCTTGTAAGCATCACCTATACCTCTAGTAATGCACACTTCTTTGTGAGCTGATCAGTTTGGGTTTTGTTAGTTTAAGGCAGCAAGTCTTACAAAATACACAAGCTCACCTCCCTCCTGTTTGTGCTACTGTATCCTTAGGTGCACAACAGAACCTCACTAATTCACATTAATGACTGGAAGAACCATTAATTCTCTTGGTACGTGAACAAGAATAAGGCATTCCATTATATATTCTCATCACTAATTATAATTTAGCTCTTATTATAATCTACCAGCAAACATACTTCTGTCTTTTAGAAAATAGTATCTCTTACCTTCCGATATAATTACGTGTGCGGATTAGTGGGTTCTGCTGTGTAAACACGCAGGTGCATAAGCAATTTTCAGGTTTTTCTTCATTACATCTGACAAGAAATTTAGTGCCACAGATAGAGACTGTGGGAAAATAAATTAGGGTTTCTTTATAATTTGTGTGGACACGCACAACTGGGCAGTAATTTATAGCTCAAAAAAAAAGGACGGGAATGTTTACAAACTCAAATGAAGCAAAATCAGCAGCAGAAAGCAACACCATTCCCCAACCATAAAGGGCTTATTTACACCATTCCAAACCATATGCAACAACAATAACAAAAAAAATAAAATACAAGTGCTGCAATATGTAAGTTTGAAATCAAGTAAAGCAAACAGTGAAAAATTGTCTGACGCTTCTAACATGATATTTATGTGTCTAAATCCTGGCTGAAGTGGACCGTAAATATAGAAGATAAGATGCAACTACATGGCCAATTTAAAAAAAGAAAGGGATCAATGTGCATTGTAATGAGAGAGAAATCTCCCTTCGTATGTGCAAAACCCCACACTTTCATTAATGTAGAGGTCATACTTCCAGTAACAGACCTTGGACAAAACCAGTCTCCCTGCATCCTGGAATCTGCCTGTTTACATCAGCCACTTCAAGTGCACAGTACCCTGTTCACATATCTAGTATTCAGCAGTTTCTGGCATTTCTCAGAAATTTAATGTTCACCTGCCTTAAATCTTGAAACAAAGGGGAAAGTTCATTCAGGGCATCATACCACTGCTTCTGAGCTATACTAACAGTTAAATCAAACTCAAATTCTCTCTTCTTCCGTGGTGCCAGGAGTCCTTACAGGACTTGTAAACAGCAGTACACAATACTGTAAACAAATAATTTAAGTTCTGCTTTATACAAGATGTTAAGCTAACCCAGGTCTACCAAACAGGTGAAAATGAAAAGGGTGGCTTCACACAAAATCCTTCCCTTTTCTCCCAGCAATTATTTTCACTACATAGGTAATCCTGAGCTGAAATAGGGTTTGGAGAGCCTTTTTTGCATATAAAAACAGTGTTCTAGAGTCAGCTCTCATGTTCTGTCAGGAAGTCAATTGCTGGAGAGATTAAACTGAAGTATTTCAAACCATTTGTTACTTTGGAGGAGGACTTATAATTTGGTGTGGCGTCCAGTTCTAGACCCAGATGCTGAGCTTGCCAAGGAAGCTGATGCGGCTGCATCCTCAGCTTCCTCCAGCTCATCTTGTAGCTCCTGGCTAACACTAGACTGGAGGGCTGCAGGAGTTAGCCACTCCTTCGGCAAACAGCTCTGGAGAAATGGTATACAAGAGCTGAAGTAGGCAAGGCGATTCACCCATCGTGGAATCTCTTTTCCACACAGAATCTAGGGGGAAAAGGAAAAGGTTAGTTTGTCTCCTGGACCCAGCACTAACAGAACTGCAGTACTGTAAATAAAAGCAAAGGCTGCATTAAATACTTGGGTTTTACCATATGTCAGCCATTAAATGGTCGTGTTGTCACTACTCGAGAAGTGATATGGTTTACTTAACTACCTCCATATTCATTTCTGGTATTACTTACTCCAGTGCAAATCTGGAGAAGAATTATAGCTAATGGGAGCATAAGTGCTGCTCAGTTACAGCAGAGTAAACTTGTAATTACATCCCTGGTTTTATAGTCAGTTTGGACAGCAAATAGCATGAGATGTAAAACACAAACAACATGACTGTGTGGTTGAAGAGTATGGCATAAACCTGGCCATACAGGTCAGATTTCATGCCAACTGCAGCTTTGCCTCACCCTACTTACTTCTACCAGCACTGCACTTCATAGAATCACAGAATGGTTTGCTTTGGAAGGAACCTTAAAAGATCATCTAGTTCCAAGCAGAATGACAAACCAAATCATGCCAGTAACATTTTCAGTCTACACAAAACACATGCTATAAATTAATTGTGCTAGTAACTATTTTTTTTTCTTTAAAAAAAAAGGAACAACTAAATTTGATGGAAGTTCACCATGGCAAAAAAATCGCCATCCCTTTCTTGGAGTGCTTCAATGGACATTAGGACACATTATGACAAGCACAGATTGCCAACTAACATTAAAAATCACAACTGCCATTTCCCTCTTTGTCCTGGATTACTTGTTCCTGAGCCTTTCCCTTGTGTTGCTACACATGTGAGCAATCAAGCATTCGATCACACTGGCGAGTTGATCAAGTTAAAGCTGAGGGGGAAAAGCAAAGCCCTTTCAACTCCACAGTCACATACTTTGTGCAATCACTCAGGTATCTACATGACCAGGGTGCAGGTGCTGGCAGAGCAGTAACTTGCCAAAAGCTGTTCAAGCAGAAGATTAACACTGCCTGTGAAACCTTGATGCCTTTGTTATTCTTTAACAGTAGGCCATAATTTTAAACATTATTTTCAGTGTGATGGCTCTGTGGGGAAGTACTGATACAAATAACATGTAGTTCTATCTTCAGTAGTTATCTCTCAAGCATCTGGAATGATTTTGAAAGCCTATTAATACTCGATTTACTAGGTCTCTCGATTAGGAATACAGCCCTGCTTGAACACAAACAATGTATGACAACAATATATATAATTTTTGACAGCAAAATCTTGTGCTTTGGACATAAGCACAGATAAAACCTGAAAAACAGTGACATTTCCCCAAGGTAACAGAGATAGGAAGTTGGAAACTAGGCCAAACATTCCAAAGAACAGGAAGGACATGACATACTGCAGCTACCTGGGAAGCACCTTTCTATAGACCTTCATGTTTGTTTACCTCAGATAAAGCTGAAGAGAAGTGATTGCAGTTTTTGTGCATTAGGTGGTAAGCATTTCCTTTGAATTCTTTTCCAAGCTCTTCTACTATTTTTTCTATGTCATCTTCCATAAAGTCAGTACTGCCTAGAACCACAGCCTCTCTGGAAGAGAAAAAGAGTAGGTGATCAGGCTTCCACGATATGATGGATTACTGTTCATACATTACTCAAAAATGGCCCCAGTGTGGGTGTTGAGATCTTTCTGCCCTCCCAGAACAATAAAGGTTCTTTCTATTCTCCTTTACAACACCATTTTCATCTTTATCATGACAGATTATTTCCTTGCCAACTGTCCATCTGTAACTCACTTAAGTTCTTTGCAAGTTAACTCTGACAAACACTGGATGCAATTTTCCTCTCCTCTCCAAAAGATATTGTTTCTAAGAGATAGCTGAGGACAGGCAAGAGCTTGTAATGCAGGGAAAGGTCAAGGCAACACTCTTCAAATTTCTCTTTGCATAAAAATTTCACTACCTTGAAAAAGTTACCCTATTCTATATAATACATGAACAACAAATCTAGCCACAAATCCACATAATTTGTACACATTTAAGGAATGCAATGGTATGCTAAACCCAACATTCTTTGCTGTACACACTATGCTGTCTCATCACCTTTGTCCATCTATCATTTCTAAGTAAACACTAATTTATCAGAAAGAAATCCTCTAGTATCATTCAACATATCTATATTAAAAAAAAATGCAACAAGTTGTCTTTTTAATATGCCTTCTCAAAAGCAAGAAAATAGCTTTTTCTTACTTAAATTTAAATGTTTCTCCTAGCTCAGAAGCATTTCCTGGTGAAATTTCAAATATTCCAGAAAAAGGGTATGGATGACCACCATAGGCAAATTCTGAAAGAGAAACCTCAGATTTAACAAACATGGCATACAACAACAGTAAAGAACAGCAGACCTCACTGACTGGAAGATCACAAGGATCTAAAGCTAGAAACCAGACATCTTACTTACATGGGTAACAAATGCAAAGAGCTGGAAAAGAACAGGTTTGTTAGTTACCAGCCAACCTAAATGAAGACTGACAGGAAATTTCCTACATCAGTGTACACGTTTAACTTGAATAACTTTATAGTAAGTATATATGGTTTTCCTTGTATAAGTGAGGATTTACAAGTTAAATTGTAAATCCTACCAATGTTCTTTATACATACTTGTTCTTAAAAGTCCATTTATATGTTTATAGATTCGGGATTCAAAGTACTGCATCCTCAAAGGTCTGATGGTGCTCCTATTCTACAGCTGTAAGAGTGGCAGCGAGTAGTGGCCTTCTAATTTCTTGATTTGCAAGAGTTCAATTGTGCCAAGTTCTTCACTATAACAAGAAAGTAAACCAGTGCATGCTCCTGAAGTCTGCACGTAGCATCTGCTGGCATAAGCATCTACACTACATGAAAATATGATGGTGTGCTTTAGCTTCCTTCTGTGTCTATACGATAACACAGCACGCCACACCCAGAGTGCAATAAAATGCTTTAAGCATGACTTCATGCTTCCGTTCCTCAAAACTCTTGTAACACATCATCCAAGTCTTAGCATTCAGTTTTGTGGGCAATCTTTTTTACAACAGGTTAATAAATAAAGTTTGATGTACTTTGAAAAATGCAAGTCATTGTTTTAGCAGGGCTATGACCTGCTATATGAGAAAGCTGTTGTAATCTGAACAGGAAGGGAGGCACATGTATTTGGCACAGCTCAAGAACTAGATTTCAGGCACAGCACTATCAAGAGTCAGGTTTTTCTGGTTTGGATTAAAAGAAATTAAAAAAGAGTTTCAACAATAAGTATTGTGTTTTGTCAATTTGTTGCTCTGGTAACACTTGCAAACACAGGCACAATGTGACCATTATAGTAGCTGAAACATCTATAGTTTAAGCTAACTTTGTGCAGTGTGGTCTTTGGACTGCTTGTCACACCTTTTGCTGCCTCCCCTCACCTCCACACACATTCCCAAAAAAGAACCGGAGTAGATTTTTTTTCTTGAAATTGACTACATTCAGCAACTATCACCTCAGAACATCTTCATAGTGCTAGGCTTGAACACCTCAGACCTGGGCCTTCCCCCAAGAAACACCTCGGGGGAGCAGTGGGGATTCAAGGTGGCCTGAATGCATCAGGAAGCTGCATCCCCAAAGTACAATCTATTTAGCAAAATTGCTGTAATTATCACAAGCGTGTCTTTTGTGAACAGCATGCACAAGATGACTCTTAAAGAAACTGTCTCTTTAAAACAAACCAACCTACCCATAGGAACAGACAGTTTTTCTTCAGCATCATGCACTTTTGTGTGCCTACCTTCAACAAATTATTGTTTCTGTAGTTATAAATTAACTCCTTGCACTAAGTGCTGGCAGAATACCAAGGAAACAACTCAACTATGCTTATATGAAGCATATATTTGTTTTAACAATAGTCTTTCAAAGCCTAAATAAAGATTTCTATGCCTAGCTGAATAAACACACTTTTCCATAGCTGCATAGCTCTACATAAGAATCAAGATGACTACCATATTATTCACATGCAAGGTCTTTCTAGATGCAGAAGAGATGAGAACTTTAAGAGAAAACTGATGAACAGGTTTCAGGAGCCAGACTTCCCCTGCTACCTGAAAAATGTTTTTCTGAATAGCAGCATTACCAGAACAAAGAGTAAGCTATGTTTTGCTTGTACGTACCTCGGCCATACACCTCTATGCCTGAATGGAACACTCCAATTCCGAGGGAAGAAGTATATTCATTCATCCAATACTAAAAAGAAGGAAGAAAACAAAAAAGACTTTAGTTTCCAAGACAGAACTGTTTTCTGATAGCAGTGCGAGATGTATTTGTCCCCCACATCAAAAGCATAAAACCCTACCACACAAAGTGAAACTGCACAAGCCATTTAATGGGAACAGAACATGCCATTAAAATCCCCTAACTGCACACAGTGAATTAACTCCATTAGGTTCTACTCCAGTGTTTCAGTTCTGTCAATGCCTGTCAATCAAGGAGAAACCTGGGAGAAATTCAGATCAACTTTCAATTTGTGAACAAGTTACAGGCTGCGGAGTGTTCCACTCGGAGGAATGCAGTCAGTGTGCAGGGACACTTTTTTTCAGTTTGTTTAAGTAACACCAGAACATAGGACTGTAACATACACACACCAACTGTCATTCATAGCAGTGATCACACTTCTGCTTACCACCAGATGAGCAGGAGACTCACTCAGAGATATGCAACATGTGCTGAAATTACCTTGGTATGTTTTGTCTAATTCGTTTAACTGGAGGTCATCACTGCAAGAAATCAGGTTCTCTCCAGGCTCCTGATGTATGTCTTCATACATCAGGTGTAAGTCTTTTGCATGGATCTAATATATCAGTTCTATTGTAGCCAAGAGATAATAGCTGCATTTCAAAAGGAAACAATAATTATTTTTTTTTTTTTAAGGGAGAAAAAGAGGGAAGAAAAACCCTTCCCTTAATGCTTTCTCTTTGTTTTTGAAAGCAGCAGCAGCAAGCGCCTATCAAGAGCTAACTATTATGCTCAAGACCTTAAAAATTCACAGAGGTCTCTAAAGGAAAAACCTGCCTTTGGCTACATCACCACTTTCAAAATCTCCGTCTCCACGCAGTAAAAATTTGGAAATGGCACATAATTTCAAAAGGAGCCTCAAACAAACGCTAAAAAAGAAAAAAAAAAAAAAAAAGAAAAGCCTCAGTTGTGTCCTGAAACCTGGAACTGGCAAGAAAAACCTCTCAAAAAGACAATAAATCTTGTCAATTTTCAGTTTGTCAGTTACTTCAGGAGTTGCACTTTTTTTTCCTCCCAGGTCACTTGGTCTCAAAGGACACTGCTGTGAACTTCTACAAAGCAGACTTCAAAAAGTCAGCTGACAGGATAGGAACTGAGGCAGTACCCCAGCAAATGAGTATTTGTTTAGCAAACAGGAAAAAAAGAAGCTAAGAAGCTAGCTTCTTTGCACAACCTGCTGACATAGTGAGTGCTTTCTGATGCGCAGTCACTATTAAAACAGCACAACTCACGATAAAAAAGGAAAGGTCACAGGTGTCATACTTGGTTAAGATGGGATCACTGGAGTTAGTACATAATTTATAGGACCATTACAAACATTATGGCGTATAATGTGCATTTCTGAAAGCTAGTTTTCCCCCAATAATAATGATACGCTAAACTTTGGACTGAGAAGCTATTCATGAAAATCAAGACAAGTTAAATGGCAAAAAGAGCAAGTCAGGCCAAAAGTAACAAATTTTCAGGCCCAAGACATGGATCTATTTGGCTTTTATGGTCATCCTTACTCTAACTATTTCTGCTGAAAATTCACAATTGTGCTAGCAGGCACAGGACGCAAATGATAATCTGGACAACAAGATGCTGAGGATTTGATGTTCTCTTCCCACAGGTGGCTTGTCTGTAGAAATTGTAAACATGAATTAGCTGAAGACAGATTTTGTTCCTTGTATTTATCTGAAATTAGGGCTCACTGAAATCTGTGGATAAATTTTGCTTAAGACTAAACTTTACCCTTTGCTTTAATTTCTGGCTTTGTGAATGCATCACTATGTTAGCTAGTGGGGTATGGATGACTACACTAAATTATCATCTTAGTCTATTTAAAGGGCTCAGCAGTTCTTTCCCTCCTGCCCCCAGAAAAGGGCAGAGCTAGCCTGCATGATGAAGCTAGATCCAGAAATACACTGGGTTAAGATTTACTCTGTGTAGAAAGACACAGAACAAGGAGAAAACAAGTAGAGAAGGAAGGAGAACAACATTAAGATTACCCAACTGACTTCATGGGTTTGTGAGCATAAAAAAAAACCACGGATTCTGCTCTTTGAAGCAGAATCAAAGCCACCAGGAAAACAGAAGAGTTACTTCAGCATAAACCTCTTTCAGTTCCGAAGCCAGTCCTATCCCACATCTCACCAGCTGACCACTTGAAAATAGTTTTAGACTGATATTTATAGTCAAAACCGTAGGCACATTCACCATACAGTTTGTCAGCACAGGAAGAAAGTATGTTTGCCTAATGAGAACATGTATCCAAATGAGCCTAATCTAGAACTGAGCTAGACAGGGACCTGGTGATCTAATTTATCCTTTCCTGGACACTGAATTGGCCAGAAAACTCTGGGCCTGGCCTCTGAATTCCAAATAACCTACACATCACATACATGCTGAATCTGTAAATGCCAAGCGAGGTTATCGCTGCTCTCTGGAAAACTGAATGGAAGTTACTTCTACTGCTTATGGGCTATCTTGTGTAATAGAGCCTAGTTTGTTACCACACAGAAAAAAGAGTCAGAAATTATTCACGCTCCTTTTCTCCCACAACACCAACTGCAAGGTGTAGGGAGAAGACTGAAAAGTGGGTCACCAGCCCCCCCTCATCAATCCATACAGAAGCAGACCAAAAGGACGGAAAGCTGCTCTAACAAGGTGCTCTGCAAGTCCAGAGCTTTTCAAGTGTGCACTCCTCCTTGCTGGAGCCACCTCAATACATGGGGCTTGCTAGCCTGCAACAACTGAGAACTGGAGACAAATTGAACACATTAGCAGCTCTGGAGGAAGTGCTTAAAGCAAGCACTTCACTTAATATTTCCAGTAAGAACAGAATAGGTTAATTGAAGATAAAAGAATTTCAATAAAGCAGAATTACTTTCCCCTTAGGAGTAGTAATTATATTTAATTATTACTTAATCTGAATGAGCTATTGGTAGGTTGGTCACATTTTCTGATTGAATAAAATGCCTTATCCCACCAAAGAAAGAGATGCAGGACAAATGCACCTTGAAGTATTCTAAATTTGGCTACAGCTGAAAAAAAGATATATGACTTACAAAATAAAGATTATAACTTAGCTGACATCTGTATAGCTTGCTGGTGCAGTAACACGCTGTAAGCCCTGGAATCCCAGAAGCTACATCTTTGATTTTATTACACAAACTGGATTCCCTTCATTTAGTCTTGAATATGACTTTTTCCATAGTAGAATGTATAGAAGACACACAATCCCATACCCTCAATATTTTGCAGCAAGTCAGTCTTGCAAAACAGGATTTCATGTTTAAGACAACTATCAGAACAAAAATATTAGAGAAGTATTTTTCTATGAGCACAATAGTCATGTCACTGAAATGAAACACTGATCCCAGAGCTTCACAAGTATCTTCTTTACTTTCTCCAGAGCTTTCACTTATGTTAATACTTTAGATTGTTATAGCCTTATTTCACAAGGGGAAAAAATAGGATGCTACTTTGGGCACAAGAAAGCTAACCGCTATTTTTAGAAGTCTATAGTCAAAATGAAATCATGAAGTACTCCAGTTCTCAAAACACAATACATTAAAGCCTTCACCCTACCCTTTTAATAACCATATTTTCAAAGACATGATCTGCAGCATGTAAATATGCCCTTAAGCTTCTCTCCCTCTGTAAAGTTACCAGTACTTGAAAGGCCTTCTTGTACAACACATGCACGCCTCCTTGCCCGTTGGTTTTATCAAAGCTTTCTGCTTTTTGAAGCACTAAGGACAATGGAAGGGTATACGCTCCAAACCAACCAACTCAGCGCTACTGTAAGGAGTTTCAACAGTGGCAAGGTCACCTAGTATTCCCCTGCATACCTAAGCAGCTGTCTGGGAAATGAAGCTGGAGTTAGCACTCAGGTTGAAATAAAGATGTTCATAGAGAGTTGCAATTGTAGTGAGAGTTGATTCTGTCAACCAGGTGACTAGCAGTGGTCTCTTGTTCCAAAAGAAAAACATAAAATCCATACCCTAAAACACAAACACCCCCCCCCCAACCTCCCTCAAAGTGACATAAAATGTCAGAAACAAACAGTAAACCTGCTAGTACCTCAATACATAGGTGGTAGGATTTGATGAATAAATGGAACTTCAAAATGGCTATAACAAGACTCTTCCCTTCTCTCTTAGTGCCCCCAAACAATACTGGTTGATTTGATTAACCAATTTCAGCAGGCTGTCAACATGCTCTAATGTAACTGCGGTGCAACACGGAAGTGAGGCTTTAGTTTAAGCTCCTGCTTCAAGCTAGTTTAAAACAGACCTAGAACACCGTTTAGCAAAAGAGTCTGAGGCAGCATGTACATCAACAGTGTCTTTCAGACACCGTGGTAACCTCAGTTTTTATCTCCAGTTTAAAGGAAGTCTGTCTCTGTAATGGTCAATGGTACATCATTCTAAAACAACAAACACAACTGAAGTAGGATGTAGAAATATTCTGCTTAGTGGTCTCAGCTTACACTATGTATCATTTGTGGTGATGCACAGCTTCAGCAACTACCAGGACTGCAGACCAATGCACAAGACCGCATCTCTACGTGCAATCAAACATCTGCAAATGAGTGTGCATGCTTGCTTCTTTTGGAAGGCAAGCTGCTTCCACAGATGGTGACTTTAGAGACTATGCTACTTCTTGATGTAGGCAGAGCCCCACTGATCACAACAGGAAAACCAACAGCCCCCAACATGTCCTAAGGGAAAGTATGACACTAGCTTTTATGAGCACAACCTTCCTGTTGCCCTCTTTCAGCCCTCTCCCCTCCTGTCAACTCTCAGCCTTCCTAGGATATTTGGAGTAAAACTGATCCCAGCAATTCAACCCCAGATGAAAAAGAAAGGAGGATACAGGTTGCAGCAAAGAAATCTTAGGAGCAAGAGATGAAGGAGAACCATGTGAATGAAAGAGTAGGCAATCACAAGAGAAAAAGAAAAGGCATGCTGAAGTCACACCCCACCAGTGCTATCATTATAGTGAAAACAGAGTTTCCCAGAGAGGCCATGGCATCACCTTCCACACAGGCACTTACACAGGGGACAGTCCCCCTTGTTAAGTTCTCACAGCCTGCCTGTGAACTGGCCCAGACACCTTGCACAAGCTAAACAAGTCTTCCCAAGAACACTGGATCTTCCATCATTGTGAATCAGAAGTGTGTAAAGCCTTAACTTCAAAGATACTATCTTATGTTACAAGTCCTGAAACTGAAGTCCTACTTCTTTCTCTGTACAAATATTTATAAATATGTAACCCCACCTCTTTTCATGCCAAAGAAGCTTCTCCAACATGTATTTATGAACTGTAGTCCAGAGAAGTCATATATATCCGTGCCACAGAGCACCATTCCCTCCTTAAGTCTAGTATAAGGCACAATGACTTTCTGTCATATCAGCAACATGTATGAGCTCAACCAGGTGAGCAAAGATCCCTTTTTTTTTTCTAGGAAAAAAACAGTCAACAGACTGCTCCCATCTCCAGTCTCCCCTCATTCTCTAGAGTGAAGGAAAAACAAAGTAGAAGTAACAGGTTCTTTTCACTGGAGAAAGAACTTGGGACAAGGGAATGTGTCCCAAGTTGAAAAAGAGAAAAGAAATCCTTTGACAGGAACATTGATTTCTATAAATATTGTTGTGAAAGAAAATAATGATAAGAACCAGGCTAGTTCATATAATCTCATCTATAATTTTAATTCCAAGCCAAATAGCTCCCTATTGGTTGCTGTTAAATATCCTAGCATTTGAGCCTTAGTAATCCCAAGCAAACAAGCTGCATTTTCTGACAGCAGTCACTGACTCCACTCTGTACCCTTTTAAAACATCAAAAGGTCAACTTAAATGGTGATGGAAGGAAACCTACCCGAACTAAGCTAAGTAACACAAACACAGTTACCTGAAACTAGCTGTCAATCTTACTGTCCCCCTATCAGCAGACTCAGAAAGTGGTCAGAAAACTAGTGCTACTTGTTCTAATTTCCAGTGACTGAAAGGTATTAACGGATAATATTTTCTTAATATTCCTTACCCACACCTCCTGCTCTCTGCAGGTACTTATACCTCATTTGTTACCATGGCATTTGAGCAGCTTCCAGCTGAACCTAAGACAATACAACAGTTGCTGTAGGTGTCACAGAAGGGAGGGAAGGTGAGCTCATAGGGCTGCAAATCAAGCTGGAACAATTCCTTTATTTCTGCCAAGTTGCAGCAATACCAAAACTGTTAAAAAATTCTGGTCTAGGGGAAAAAAAGCATGTTACTGACACAACACTGTAAACCCTCCTATCCCTACAGAGATAGCAGTTATCCCCAACTACCATCCTGAGGGTCAGCCGGCCACTCTGATGGCTTTCAGGAGCAGGAAAGGCAGGGCTTCTCCCCTGAGGTGCCCTGGAAGCAATAACGGAGAAACAGCTCGGGGTCATTCGCGTTTCGCTACCCACCCGTAGCAGGGGAAGAGCTTCCCCCCCGACAGGGACCGGGTCTACCCGGCAGTAAAACACCCGTCCGGGCCCCACAGCAAACTTTTGCTGCAGGTCACAGATCATATACAGAAACCGACAGACTTCCCAAATAACAGCCCTCTTCCCCCCACCTCCCGGTTCGTTGTTTCTCTCGGCCCCGACCGAGCCAACTCAGGCGGGGACAGGCAGGGGAAGGGCAGGAAAAGTTTCCTCCGCCGCCCCGCGGGACGCTCTGCGCCGCGCTCAGCCCCTCAGAAGGGCACGGGGCCCTGCCCGCACTAGCCGCCACAGGTGCGGGGCCGCGCTGCCTGCCGCGGGCCGGGCCGGGCCGGGCAGGACGCTCACCATGTCGTAGACGTTGAGGATCACCAGTTGGTTCGCCATCGCCGGCGGCCCGCGGGCGCCCCCCGCCCGCTCGGTCGCTCCCGCTGCGGCGGCGCTGCTGCTCAGGCCGGCGGCGGGGCGGTGGGGACCCCCGGAGGCCGCTTCCTCCTCGTCCTGCCTGTTGCTGCGAGGCGGGGGGGGGCGGCGGGCACCATGGAGCCGCCGCCGCGGAGGGACGGGGCCTCGCCCCCGGCACACGCGCTCAGCCCGCGGCTGGCGGCGGGGGCCGGGCGAGAGCCCCACCCGGGTGGCGGTGCCGGCGGCGGGAAGGGAGGGGAGAAGGAAGTAGGGGGTGACGAGGAGGGGCGGACTCGGCGGCCGGGGCGAGGCGCAGGCGGCGGCGGCGGTAGCGCGCGCCCTGCCCGGCCCTGTCGCTGTCGGCGCCGCCGGGCGCGCGGGACGGCCTGCCCACCCCTCCAATGGGCGCAAAATGGAGCCGCGCGAGCCCGCCCCCGGCCGCCGCGAGGAGCGGGGCGGTGGAGACTACAGCTCCCGGCGTGCGCCGCGCCAGGCCAGGCCAGGCCAGGCCAGGCCGGCAGCCGTGGGGCGGCCGGAGTGTCCCGGTGAGGGTGCCGCGCCGGCCGGCAGCGGGTAGGGCCGCGCCCTGGCCTCTTTCACGTGTGCTGGGCTGTGGCGGGCAGGCCTGTTTCACGCGCCTACGTCCACGGTGCTCGTTTCCAACGGCAAGAAGGTCCGGTCGGGCCGTGTGGGGAGGGTTTGCAGGCACCGCCATTTTATGGTTCTGTTCGGTGAAGCAGGGGAATTAGAACTAGCTTTACACAAGTAGCGTTTGAGTGTTCTGGACCTGCAGGTAGCCCATGTGTGGTTACTGGTGAAGCCATTGGCGTTCCTAAGTCTGCAGACACCATAGAGAGTAAACTAGTTGTATAACCCGGTGGTATGGTAACCTTATATATAACCTTGTGGAGAAACAGCAAAGCAAAAATCCAGTTGGCAAAAGCACCAGCAGCAGTAGAAAAGATGCTTTCCCTCTGCCAGCGGATTGGAGACAACTGCCCCTTCATAGCACTTTGGAAAAGGTGTGGTTCTCAGCAGGCTGTGGATGTGTTCTGGCGACCGAGATGCAGCTGGAAGGAGGATGTACCGCCCCAGGGGATCCTGGCTGCCACTGTCATTTCTGGCTGTAGGTATTTAACCCCTCTTTCTCAGCTAAAGCTCCTGTTGGCTGCTGAGGGTATGAACCTGTGGTTCATCTTGGCCATATGTGGGAGCACTCTACAACTATCTGAAAGGAGGATGGAGCAGGGAGGTGCCTGGTCTCCCAAGAAACAAGACGTAACGGCCTCAAGGTGCACGAGGGGAGGTTTAGATTGGATATCAGGAAAATTTATTCACTGAAAGTGTGATCAGGCATTGGAACAGGCTTCCCAGGGAAGTGATGGAATCACTGTTCCTGGAAGTGGTCAGAAACTAGCCCTTAGTGACATGGTTTAGTGTAGACTTGTCAGTCCTGAGGTAACAGTTGATGATCCTAGAGGTCTTTTCCAACCTAGCTGATTCTGTGATTTGATGTTGGCAGTGATGCCTTACTTTGCCAGCAAAACAGTAAACCCGTGGACCGCATGTCCGTAACTCCTTTGGACCATGTTCTTCATCTGCTCCTTTAGCTGGCAGCTAGGAAACAAACTGATAAGCAGTAAACTAAAAGTGTTGTGAGAAGAAGTTGCTTCCATATTAGGGAATACCAAGGAAAATATGAATGCATCTTAAAAACAGCAGGGGTCAAACCTCTTACGTGGAGAGATAAGGACTCCATTTCCAACTAACAGTATTCATTAACTGGAAGAGAGAAATGTGGAGTGCTGACTCACTCACGGACTTCTAGTGAATGGTTTAGTTTTCTTTCTCTCCTGTTTGTTGCCTGTCTACAAATCCACTGTGGAGAAAAATGAGAGGAAAACGTAACTTCTAGCCTGTAGCAACAGGAGAGAGAGATAAAATTCACATTATATGAGTAAATCTGAAGAATAAAGACCCAAAGTGTCACTTCGTTGACTTAAAAATTGAATTTTGGCATTAAAATGTTAGACTTACTACACAGAGTAGTAATACAACACTACAGCTCTGATCTCCTCAGTGATGCAGTTTCTCTTTTCATTCAGTTATTTGCAAAAGACAGGAAAATCCTTTTGAGCAGAAAGACTGTTATTGGCTAAGTGTCAGAAGCAATGTTACATGTGTGAATACTAGAGAGAGGTATGCCTTACATAGTATGTTTTACAGCAGTTTGCATTTATTTGAGTAGTTTGGACAGTTAGAAAGTATGGTGTGGAGATACTCCATGATACTCGCTATTCTCAGTTTGGCAATTTGGTAAAAGGGAGTGAGCAGTAGTGGGCACCAATACCACAGAAGAATTACAATGTGTGAACCCAGGGATTTCTGCTTTGTAAAACTGAAAGCCAGATTGCTTCAGCCTTTAATAGTAGTACAGAAAACTTCCTCAAAGAACACAAACCAAAATCATTGTTTACCAATCTATACTACATTTACTGTATGTCATGACATTTTCCTGTCCTTGTATGGGAGAAATACAGAGCAGCTTGGTTTCTTGTCTGTATGGAAAATGTTTAGTTTTCAAAGGTGCAGAAATAGTCAAGATTAGAGGACCGCCATTTTTCAGCCATAAAAGAGAACTGAGAGAAGGCTAAGGCACCTTAGATTCAGAGGGATGCAGAGCACCCCACACAGATGTTGCTACACACCTCCTGTGTGTCTCCTGCATTTGGCACATGCACAGTTAAGATGGAACATGGATGTGCAAATCCTCCAGAAGGAAATTGAGGGCTCTCACCAATGCTTCAGCCCATGGACCATCCTCTTGTAAAGGAAGACTGACTTAATGTTCAGTAGGAACAGACTGTTTTCACTGGAGCTGAAATTTCAAAGTTGATTTCAGATTTTTTTTTTTTTCTCTGATTTCTTTCCTGGTACAAACTATACTGAAATTGATGGAATGTGAATCATGCAAAATGAATCAGTAACAAATGATTGAAAATGCTCATGTGTTCTTTGTGTGCCAGATTTCTACAGCTTTTATAATCTTTATGAAAATTTTCATAAACTTGTGAATATCAGATAAAGTGATGATCAGAAGTTCAACCATTATTTACCTATGTTACCTTTATTAAACTTATTTTAGGACAAACAGAACAATTGCCATTAACAGGATAAGCTTTACAAGGTATCTTAACTTGGCAGCCAATAAGAAAATTCTGGTTAGAAGTGCAAAAATGTCTTCAGCTGGAGTGAAAAAAAGAGATTCAAATAAGACTGTTAGGTTATTTTCACAACTGAGAGCGAAACCAAAGGATCTTATGAAATTGGCCAGTGCTCAAAACCACCCATCCTTACATATTTAATGAAAAATGTAAGTTCTTGGTAAGAAGATTAGGATTATTAAATTATTAACATTATTCAAAGCCTTCCAAAGTTATAACACTCAAAATGAAGTACATAGTAAATTTTTAATATATTTGTAGTTGAAGTTATTTTTTCTGCAGTAAAGTCAACTTTTGTGAGCATTCAGGCATGTAAATATGTGTTTTTAGGTAAGTACTGCCCTGGAGCAAGCACTTACCAGAAGAGTATCCCAGCAATTTCAGCAGGGCTTGTTGGAGGTTTACAGAGGAGGCAATGCGTCTCTCCAAAGATCAATATACAAGGGAACATTAACAGCTTTGAAAGAGGTTAGAAGAAATTTGAAAACTGTTTTTTTTTTTACTGTAGGCTTCGTATAAGCAGGGAACACTGCAGAAACTGCAATGCATTAACCAGTCCTCACTGTTTTCCATCTGACCTCTCTGCTGGTGGTTCAAGTAAGCAGATTTGAAAGACAGGGAGAAGCAAAGCCAGAACTCTGTCCTGTGCCAGCACCTTTTTTCAGGTTGTGAAACCTAACACTTGTTGGTTTCAAGTGTAAGGTTGGCTAGTAGAAGTAAGCCACCAGGAAATGTGGACATTCATACCATTGGTACATGTATGTAAGCTCTGTTAGTCAGAATATTGTCCTGATAATATAGATAGAGAAGGTACACTAACATATAAGATGCGAAGGGCTGTTTCTGCAGAAGAATGAATTTTAGGGAAAAAAGAAAATGCATGCAAGAATTTCCTTCACTAAATAAAAACCATCTTGGGTAAGAGTTTTATGTGTGTTCTAAAAACCACGTTATCTTTGTAGAAAACTAGAAAAAATGTCATCTGTGAGGAGCTGACTCTCATCTGCACTAATGATTAATCTTTAACCTAATTGTGTAAGACTAAAAAAATGGCACAAGATGAGCTGTCAGCTCTAGCAGAGCTGTCAGGGAGACCAAAACTGTTTAATCTGAATAGACAGTAAAGAATTGCTGTCTGTAGGAGAGCTTGTAATGAAGATCTTTATGAATAGTGTTCTGAAAGCCTTTCCAACTTGCCCATCTCAGTGGATCTTCTGGATTCCTTTCTCCTGTTTACAAGAATGTTCCTCCATCGTTAGAGCAAGGTTGTATTAACCACACTATCATCCACACCCAAACTGTTCAATGAAAGAAATTTAAGTGGAAAAACATACTCCAAGTTGGTATAATAATAATGGAAGTGTCCTGGTATTCTGGACTGAAAGTAAGAAAGAATTGTTTTACAGTGAGAACAATCAATCAACTGGAACAGCCTCTCCAGGGGTGTGGTAGAGTCCCCGTCGCTGGAGGTTTGGAGGTTTTCAAGATGTAACTGGACAGGCCAGTAGATAATCTCATCTAGGCTCCTTTTCCACAAAAGGTTGGACCAGATGATGTTTTGAGGTTCCTTCCAACCTGGGCTGATCTATGATTCGATGATTCAAAACTATTTTACAAAGATATTTAATTTTATCCAGAGTTGTATCTGTGATTAAGATTAGATTCTAGCAACAGGAACAGTACAAATAGATCAGGCTTCTTAAATATGAATTGATGCATAAAAGCATAATTTTTACTAGGGGTACATGCTGATGGTAGAAGTATTTTAAACAGAGAGATGTAACTGCAGTGACAAAATAGATTTCACCCTAAATTAAATTATAGCTGTGTTTCTAGTATCAAGACCATAGACAGACTACTAAAATGTTTACTGAATTGTAATGACATTATTGCCCCTTTGTGCAAAAATCCAAATTTGGGGTTCTGTGAAACAGTGTTGTTTAGATGGGAAATAAACACTATGAAGTTGACCTAAGTGCCAAGGATA